ACAGTCCCAGCAGCACAACGTGATGCCATGGTCCCCAGCCCTGGGGACAAACCCTCCCTGCCAGCCTCCACCTCTGCTGGGAGGAGGAGGATGGTGTGAGCCATGGCCCAGCTTGGGGGGGTGCAGGAAGCTCAGCCTCACCGGCAACCAGCAGCTGCTGGGCTCTCCCTTGGGCAAATAACCTCCATCAAAGGGGCAGGGAAGGGTGGTTTGAACCTGCCACTTCTGCCAGCTCAGGGACCGCTGCCCTGTGCTTTGGGCACGGTTTTCAGGGAAAACAAACCAGAACACGACAAACTGGTAAAAGCATCCACGCTTTGGGATAAAGCACAAGCAGCTTCCTAGCAATGAGAGCGAGAAAAGTGGGAGTCAACCCCCTCACCTTTGCTGTTTTCATCACAGGTCCCGGTCGGGACCCCGGAACCAGCGGGTGTTTGAGCTCCTTGGACTCGGTTCCCGCATTCTCATTTGTGGGTTATCACCCTCTGGCCTCAGCACACGTGCCAGCAGTTTGTGGGCTCACCCTGTCAGCTGGCTCGGAAATTAAATTAAACATTAAAGCTGTCGCTTCCAGGCACAGAGCAATCACCCCCTCGCCCAGCAAAAGGCAATTCTGGCTGTCCAAGCAGAGGGAAGATGGATTTCCCAGCTTGGGACAGCACTGGAGTAGAGCAGCTGTGACAGTCCCTGTGGGTGCGATGGGACAAGTCCCCAGCACAGCCCAGGATCTCGGCGTTGCCAGGGCTGGGCAACCCTCGAGCCACAGGCACTCCCTTTCCCGGAGGTTTCCTTGCTCTGCTACTTGAGTGTGCCGGTGAGAATCCTCCTGGGATAAAGTTTGCTTGAATCCTGGCTCTCCTTAACTCTGCAGGGTGGGACCCAGCCCTGGGGACACTCATGCTGCCCGAGGACAGATAGAACCTTTGTCCATGGGCTCCTGCTTGGAAGAATATCCCCTGTAGGATCTGCAAGAGTGTCTCTAGGATCTTACCAGCTTCTCCTTGGCCTTGCAGTGACGGGCTGTCCCGGAGGGGAAATGCATCCTGAATGGGGCTGAGGCCCCCTGCGCGGGAATATGCAGGCTCGGCACCGCGGGGGCAGAACCAGGGCAGCGGCCGGCGCGCGGCGGCATGGTGGCAACGTTCAAGATCGCCGTGCTGGGAGCCCAGGGCGTGGGCAAGAGCGCCATAGTCCGGCAGTTCCTCTACAACGAGTTCAGCGAGGTCTGCGTGCCCACCACGGCCCGCCGCGTCTAAAAAAAGTCATCACCGGCCACGTGCACGACCTGCAGATCATGGACTTCCCCCCCATCACCGCCTTCCCCGTCAACACCCTGCAGGTAGGGGCGCAGCCAGCTCGCTGCGATGGGACCTGCATGTTGGGGGCTCTCCGGTGACCTCCGTGGGGTTTGGCTGTGTAACCCTACAGGGACCTGGTTCCTTCTCTTTGGGGGATGCTTCTCTCTCCACGTCGGGGTTTGCTTGCTAAAAGCCCATGAGAGGGATGGCAAACTCATGACTACTGGCTGAGCAGGCCTGTGGTAAAGTGTCTTTTAAAGCTTTTTTTCCACCTAAAACGACAGAAAACACAGAAGGGACGTTGTCCTTCTCCAAGGACTGTGGCTCTGGCAATGCCCGTGGCCCCGTCCAGCCGGGCGTTAGATCCTGGAGTGCTGGGATCTGCTTCCATGGCCACCGGCAAAGGGCTGAGGGAGAGAGGCCAGAGCATTCGAGAGAAAACCAGGGGTTCTTGGGGAGCCAGACCCTGATGCACCCGCTGCCCAAGGCAGGTGGAGCGGGGCTGCTCATCCCCTCCCGGGGTGGCCGTCACACCCCCAGCATTGCCAGGGCTTGTCCCTGAAGCGCTGAGCCCACCAGCTCCTCCTCAACCCCCAGCGCTCTTGGGGGCTTCCAAAACAGCCCCAAAGGCAGTGAGGGATTGGGAAGTGTTGCCACCAGTGCTGGCCACTTCAGGGAGTGAGTTAATGGGGAAAAAGGGGATTTTTAAGCCCATGTCCTGGGCCACCAGTTGTGTCACTGCTCTGGGGAAAGGAGCTGGAAGTGCCCAGACGTGGCTGCAGCCACCGGTGGGGACACATCCATGGCAGCTGTGCCCTCTTGTACTTCTAATCAACATAATTCTCCTGCTCCTGTGCCTGATGCGGAACAGGTTGTAAGGGCCTTGTAGGGCTCCAAGTTTCCCCTGTGCCATCGGGCAGGAGGTGAAGTGAGCGCTCCAGGGGCGAGGAAGAGGTTTAAAAATTAATCAACATGTGCAGGGAATGAAAGGTCAGTGCAAGAGACAGCCCAAAATAGCAAAGGGTAATTTATTGACATGGCAGCCGACGCTAACACACTCGATTAACTCCCTGCCTTGCTGCACTCAAGAGGAAGCGGCTGCTGGGAACAAATAGAGGTTTCCATTGAAAAGAGGGTGGTCAGAGGGGAAAGGAGGGGACCGCGGTGGGGGATAAGGCTCTGTCTGCTGGGAAGCATCACTAGGCTCTGGTCCATGCCCAGGGGCAGCATCCTGGCACCGATGTCCACTGCCTTCAGCACAGGGCCAGGCGAGATGTGCAGCGTGACCCTCCTCCAGCCCCACCATCCCGAGGAACCCACCCCAACATGGGGAAAACCCTCCTGAGGTCATGGCACTGGAGCAAGCTGCACCCCAGTGTGGTGAAATAACTGCAATTTATTAACCTCCCGGATGTCTCAGGACTCAGAGTAACCTGAGACATTGCCCTGCGGCTCCCTGGCGCCAAGGATACCCATCATCTCCTCGTCTCCTTCCCTCAGCAGATAGGAGAGGGGCTGTCCCACCACTCATCCCCAGCTCCTTCCCACACTGCTCGCTGCGATGGGAGACCAACCTGGGTCCCAAAACTTTCCTTTTCACCGTTCCCTTTGGCCCTAGGTCTTCTCGTTTGCCTTATTCGGATGAGAAACTCAGAAAGGGATGTTTCACGGTTTGCTCGGGGAGAAGTGATGCCTTTCCTCCCTGGTGCATCTTTCTCCTCTCCAGGGGTGCTCAGGGGGGTTGCAGTGCTGCCCTTCCAGGGTGCCGCTGCCGGGCTGGGAGAGGGGCTGGAAGCAGGGCAGATTTGTACTCCTGTAGCACGGGGGAAAAAAAAAATCCTTTTGTCCTAAAAAAAGTATTTCTTACAGCTCTAAATTTTGCCTGTGGAGAGGCAAACCCCTCACTGCCTCTGCCCCAGCTCCCGATCTCACCCTTGCAAACCCCCCTCCCTGTCCCATTGTCCCCAGTGATGCTCTGCTGTCATCTTCCCCCTCTGACCCACGGAGCTGCTCATCCGGCATCCCCAGCCCCACGGGGACTCGGCAGCCTCCTCACCTGTCCTACCCGAAATCCAGGGTGTGTCACTAATTAACACACCTAATTAGCAGCTCTGAAGGATGAAGCTTTTCCATCCAGGGCAGGGGCTTGCATCCAGCCCCGCTCCCAGCTCACTGTGCATTGGGCAGGCTCTAATCCTCGCTCAGGAGGGAAATTGGGGCTCACAAATCCTGTTTTATCTCTCCTCCAGATTAACGAGGGGGATAAGGGATCTCCAGAGATGGGGAGTGGCTGAAGGGCTGCAGGGGGGACACACAGAGACAGGTCAGGGCAGAGCAGAGGTGAGATGGGTGCTGGGTGTCGGGGGCTGGAGAGCATGCACCCCTCACCTCGCTGACGCAGCAGCCTCCTCGACGTGCCCAGCTCCAGAGCAGCCTGGGGCATCCTCCGGGCACTTGGCTGAGCCAGGATTGATCCCTCTCTGCACCTTGCAGGAGTGGGCAGACGTGTGTTGCAGGGGGCTCCGGAGCGTCCATGCCTACATTCTGGTCTATGACATCTGTTGCTTTGACAGCTTCGAGTACATCAAAACCATCCGCCAGCAGATCCTGGAAACAAGGTAGGGATTGCTTCACCCGAGAGTGCGTCCCCACCGTGGCTCCCCTGCTCCTGGTGTCGGAGATGAGATTCTAGAGACTGGGACAAAGCCCCTTCACAGGGCTGGGAGCCCAAAGGAAAACTGGATCCTAGGGCATGAGAAGAAGCGGGAAGCCGGGGAGGTTTTCCCAGCAGGCGAGGGCAGCCATCCCTGGGAATAGAACTGGGGCTGGCACGGGGGGGGTCCGCACAGAGGG